AAAGATACATTTAACTACTGTCTTAAAGCAAGTACCAGCATTTCTGAATAAGGAACTTACTTGGCCATAAAATAATGCTGCATAAAGCATTGTGCATAAGAGCATTGCCAAAGCATTCAGAGATGTTTTAGTAGTCTTCCGAATAGAATTGGTTCTAGAAGCCAAAGATCCGGGAATGACACTCAATCAAAACCAACAGCCTGGAATCAGTATCTAGATATAATACAATATATACTCTCTCTGGCTTCGAACCCCACAGCATTTAAGCAGAAACTACCTTTCTGGGCATAAGCATCTGAGAAGTAGACATCCCTACTGGTGAAAGAAGCAAAGAGCTTCCCATCCATAAATGCAACCTCCATTTTATGACCCAACACCAAAATTAATTTCCTAGCCATGGGCAAAGATAACTCACAGAATTTCAGCTCTGAGTAGACTATTTTCCAATGCCCCACCCCACCACACACACACACACACACACACACATACACAGAAGGATGGCCCTGGACACAGCGTACATAAAATATAACACAAGTTGAAGGTCTGGAAATCCTGGCAGATTATGCCCACAAACAGCAAATGCCAATGGAGGCTGAACAAGCAAGGTTAAGATTCAATGCCCTAACAACTAGAAAGAGGCCAGGGATTTATCCACCTGTCCTTCGGAAGTACTTTCCACTGACAGCCATGATCACTCTCCCCATGACTCTAGTCTGCTTTTCTATTGCTGTGATTAAAAACACCTTGAGGGAGAAAGGGTTTATTCGGCTTCTAGGTTCCTGTCCACCATGGGGGAAAGACACCTTGGGAGCGCAACATAGGAACTTGAAGCAGAAACCACCGAGAAAAGCTGCTCATTGGCTTGATCTCTATACAACCCAGGCCCACCTGCCAAGAATAGCACTGTCCATGGAGGACTGGACCCTCCTGCACCAACCAGCAATCAAGAAAATGCTCTACAGACATGTATACAGGCCAGTCTGATAGAGGCAGTTCCTCAGCTGAGAGCCTCTCTTCCAGATTTGTGTCAAGTTGACAAAAATTGAACCAGCACACCCAGTGTTTTTGAAATCTGCTAGATTTGGCTAGCTGGTTCTCCCTCCAGCCTGCCCCAAACGGAGAATTAACTAGACTCTAACTATGGTTTTCACATGTGTCTGGTGAGGTTGTTTGTCTTAGGGACAAGGACTCAGTCAAATCTGTTATTTCAGTGTTTTTTTTTTCGTGGCAATTATTAGTTACCAATAAAGGCAGAGATGGAGGTGAAGACATAGTATTTCTAAAACTGTATCTTATGCATGTACTAAAGATAAAGGAATATGCTCAATTTAGCCATGCAGGAGCAGGCACCACCCGTGCCACACTGACTCTCATTGGTTATTTTCAGACACGTTAGATAGAGCACAGAAGGGAATCATGCGTCACTGGGTGCACTTCTGGAGAGGGACAACTGCCATCAACAGCTTTCTCCCTTTGTAAAGCGTGCAGAGTCCAAGGTCGCGGTGAACTGATCGCCTGTTATGGAAAGGAAGATAACTCTACAATATAGTTGTTCCCATGGCATTCATTTTTACATCTTTTTTGAGATTTTCTTTTCTTCTTAATGAACTGTTTAGGTAACAATACTAAGGACTGGGATTCACTGCAGGTTCTTCATACATATGTCTCCTCACACTTTGTTCTCGGTAATTTCCTTCTCTATTGCTTCTATGTGCTGCTCACCCCCAGAGCTGGTTCTCTCTCTATCTGGGTTAGTTCTCCACTTTTGCTTCCCGAGTATGTGTATTTCATCATTATGTTTTATGCCTCCATTAAGATTTCTTCCTCTCTTCTCATGATCCCTTTTCTAGACTCATGACCTACAAACACATGTATAAATAATATAAAGAAAGAGAGAGAGAGAAAGAGAGAGAGAGAGAGAGAGAGAGAGAGAGAGAGAGAACTGCGCTACAGGTCTGTCTCATAAGGTCTTTATGTTAAAGTACTTTCTTTTTATTACTGATGTCTTCAAGGCTTTCATCCATAAAGAGATGCTGAACTTTGTCAAAGGCCTTTCCTGCATCAATTGAGATGATCATGTAATATATCTCCTTAAGTATATGTATATGATGATGGACAACTTCATTGTCTTAGTTGGGGTTTTCTATTGCTGTGAAGAGACACCATGACCATGGCAACTCTTATAAAGAAAATATTTAATTGAGGGTGGCTCGCTTACAGTTTCAGAGGTTCAGTCCTTTATGTCCATGAAGGGGAGCATGGCAGTGTGCAGGCAGACAAGGTGCTGGAGCCGAGAGTGCTACATCTTGCAGGCAACAGGAGGTCAACTGACTGTCACACTGAGTGAAGCTTGAGAAAAGAGACCTCAAAGCCCACCCCATAGTGACACACTTTCTCCATTAAGGCCACACTTCCTAACACTGTCACTCCTCTGGGGGCCATTTTCCTTCAAACCATCACATTAATGATTTGTGCATGTTGAACTAACAGAAATGAAGGCCCATTGCCTGTGGCTCACAGATGAATTGCCAAGGGTTGGGAATGTATAAGACAGTCAGTATAAAGGCTTCCTGCTATCAGATGTATAGGAAGAGCTAATAAAATACTTACAAGTCAGTAGATTAAGTGTGGGTTCTTACTTGGATTTAGAATTAATTGTCAGATCAGTGGTCCCTTTTGGCCAGAATGACTCAAAGAAATCAACTAAACTTTACCTAAATTATGGCTGCAGATTCTTAAGTCTAGGACTTTTTATTCAATCATTAAAAAATAATTCTCCTTTTGTCATACAAGCAGAATGATATATGTCAAAGGAATGGCCATGCCAATCATTTTAGCCCCTGACTGAGACCACAGAAGGACTGAATGTACCCAATAGCTCACATGGTCATGAGGGTAAACACAACTTTAATTCCACTCAACAAAGTACACATTTTTGGTAAAGCCAGTAAGTAAATATGGCGTGGACTAGAGGCCTCACAAACATTCATTCTTCCTTTTATCACCAATACTTGCTGCTGGACTTTGGGTTCTTAGCTCTGGAACTTCTGCTGTGCTTTAAGAGCAGGTGTTCCTTTACCACCTGCCTTCTGAACCAAAGATGGGACAGCTGTGTTTAGTCATAGGCACATGCTTTCAAAACACCTGAACCAGATAACAAGTATTTGTCTCTCTGCTACTAAAAAGGACTGTTTGCAAATTTCAGTAGCTGGAGCCACATAAATGAGGCTTAAGGCAAAAACGGAAAATTAGTAATTAAAAAAACTATAATAGAACTTGTGTCATTGGTTTGAGGGAGAAATGCTGAATAATACTTTTGAGTTTTTAATACTTAGTCAATGATTAGTATCTTGACACTTCCATACATGTGTGTAAAACATTCTGATTGCTCTCACTCTACCCTTTCTTAACTCCCTTCTGCCAACCCCTATCCCTCCCCCACAAATCCTTTTCCTATAGTCAACTCTTTTTATTTTGCATTGTGACCCATTAAGCTTAACCAGGGCCATCGTGGGTTTTGAACTGTCTATTTGGACCTGGTAGGATCACCAGTGGCTACATAAGTAAAGACAATGACCCTTCCTCTCCCAGAATCCATCTGCAGCTCTTAGTTCAGCATAGAGGCTGTGGTAGTTTGAGTGAGAATGGCTGCCATAGACACATATCTCTGAATACTTGGCTCCCAGTTGGTGGAACTGTTTGGGAAGGGTTAGGAGGCGTGGCTTAGTAGGAGGAAGTATGCCACTAGGGGTTGGCTTTGAGGTGTCAAAAGACTTGCACCATTCCCCCTGTGCTCTCTATTGCCAACTTTGCATTTTGAGATGTGAGCTCTCAGCTGTTTGTGCTGCCATCCCTTCTCTCTTCCATCCTAAGCCTCTGAAACCATAAGCCCAATTAAACTCTGTTTCTTTATGAATTGCTTTGGCCAGGATGTTTTATCAAAGAAATAAAAAAGTGACTAATACATTGAGTAGAGCCCCAAGAAGCTCTCCCACATCCATGAATGATTATGGACAGAGCCAGTCTTGAGCAGGCCCAGTGCAGGTAACCACAGGTGCTGTGAGTTCCTGATTGCAGTGTCTGTGCCCTGCCCAGAAGTTGGCTTTTCACGTCACTTCTCTCTATCTTTCAGCTCTTACTGTATAGATATTTTTAAGGATGGAAGTTTATCTTAGGCACCTTCTTTTATCTTAGGCACCTTACACCCTTACAGAATCTCTAAAATAGCTTACAAAAACATCTAGTGTTCCTTATGATGGTTTAATCAATCCATATAAACTGGAAACTAGAGCCTTCACTTTCTTCCTTGTCCCCTTTCATTACTGAAGCATTGTCAGCTCTTTCAATTTGGGTATTTTCCTGGACGCATCTTTAATCCAGCTACCCACCACAGAAGGAGTCTCCTTCAGGGCGGCAGCCTATAAACCCCAAGTCCTCCTGCCATGGTGCATCTGAGTTCTGCTGGCTTTGTGAATTTACCAGGTCATTAGAAAGTAGGCATCTCTTCATCTTCCTCATTATATCAGGCCCTCAATAAAACCTCAGTCCTTCTGACAGGTCTCCAGCTGCTGCCCATCCATTTAAAATCTTCCTAAAGACAATATCAAGTTTTTAAAGGCCATTCATGTTGGCAATGTTTTCAATGCAGTTTATACACAGTGAACAACCTCTCTCAGTCAGCAAGTGGATAGGGAGGTGTTGGAAAGAACATTAGGGTAATTCCTATAATAAACGCATTAGCCAGCTCACACAGACGACAATGTTCACACTTCTTTTAGACTGTATGTCCATCCACATCTGCAGCGTCTCCACACCTACATATACAGGAAGAGAAAGGGGAAACCTAATGGGGAAGATGGATGTAAAAGCATACAAACAACTTTGTATAATGTGCACAGCTGCAAAGAAAGTGCAGGGGTGGGGAGGGGTTCATAACCTACATCTGTGCTTTAAACAAATCATGTCATATGACTAGCCAGATTAATCTCATCGGTACTCACAGATCATATAAAAGATGGACCTTAGAGTCATAATTCTTGAGGGGGTTCTTAAGCAATGGCTCCATGTGGCAACTGAATAAGGTCAAGTCCCCTTTCATCCAGCACTCGATGTCCCAGTTTATACCTGCATTAACAATAAACTGCATTAAACTGGGCAGTGGTGACACACGCCATTAATCCCAGAGCTCATGAGGCAGAGGCAGGATCTCTGTGAGTTCGAGGCCAGCCTGGTCTATAAGAGCTAGTTCCAGGACAGACTCAAAAGCTACAGAGAAACCCTGTCTTGAAAAACCATCAATAAATACATACAAACATAAAAATAAACTGCATTAAACCTGAAAAACACTCTCAACAACCCAGTCAAAAAGAAGCACTAAACTGAATTTGGCAGTGTTCTGATACTATTTCCACTGCCCATTCTGAGAAGGGGGAAAACAGGCTGTTTGGAGTGTGTTTGCCTAAGCCATTCAGGGCCTTCAATCCCTCTGCTCTGTACCTCGGTGTTCCCCCTCCCCGCCTTGCTCCAACCTGTTTTAAATCAGAGAATTAAATTCAATTACCATTTCTCAACTTGTTTTTAATCTCAAGCTACTTAAGCAGGACAAGACTCACTTTTATTTATCTTAGGTCAACAGATCAAAACAACAACCTGTAACCACTTGTAACTCCAGAGGCCTAGGACCCAAGGTCATCTTCTGGCCTCCACACGCAACCAAACACATGTGCCATCACTCACACACACACACACACACGCACGTATGCACGTGCGTGTGTGTAAATAAAAGTTAAAGTAAATCTTTTAAAAAATATATGACTAACAAGGCAAAACTGACAACACTAACAGTTAACCAAATAAGAAGTATTTCTAGCTTTTGGGGACCTTGTATGAAGGAGAAACCCATATGAAAAAAGAACAAATTAAAATCTTGTAAGCCACTACTTACTCTCCTAATTTTTGTCACAAAAACTTTAGTTCACTTAAATGTTAACTAGTTATGATCCACTTATAAAGTTGAAATACATAGTATGGTAATGATTTCCCCTCAGAAATAAAGAATGTAGTGGCATTTTTTGTCATTCAGGACTCATTATTAAGATCTTGTTCAATCTTAGTATATTTAATAATCAATGGATCAGATAAGCTATTCCCTTAGTAATCAAAAAGCTTCAACATTTATGAACTCTATTGGAATTATTCCTACTAACTTGTTTTTAAAATCTAGTTTTACAAAAAAATAAGTTTTATCATTATTCTTTTTGCAATGATTTATTTTCTCTCTCTCTCTCTCTCTCTCTCTCTCTCTCTCTCTCTGTGTGTGTGTGTGTGTGTGTGTGTGTGTGTGTGTGTGTGTGTGTGTGCCTGCATGATTTTAAGTGCACCAAAGGTATGCATGTCCACAGAGGCCAGAAAAGAACTTCATATCACCTAGAACTGGAGTTAGAAGTAGCTGTGAGTCTCCTGATGTAAGTGCTAAGAACCAAAACAGGTCCTCTGCAAACGCAGCAAGTGCTCTTAACCACTGAGCCCCCGAACCCAGGTCCTCTGTGAGAACAACAACAAGTGCTCTTAACCACCGAGCCATCTCTCCAATCCTTTCTTACTCTTAAACTGATTTCAACTTAGGATGCTTTTTCCTGTGTACAGTGCTAAACCAGGTATATGGGGGACATCTGACAATATCTAAAGATTTCTTTTGTTTGGTTTGCTGTCTCACTTCATAGCCCAGGCTGGTCTGGAACTCACAGTCCTCCTGTCTTTGCCATTCATGTGCCACAATGACAGGCTCAAGATAGATATTACAGTTACAGATAAAGATATTTCTTTTAGTACTGTGTAGAGACCAGGGCTGGTCAGACTAAAGAATTATCTGGACTGAAGGGTCATTAATATCAACTGGAAAATCCAACTAACACCACACAAGAGTCCTTACTTAGGTATGCCTATTCTTCCCTATTTGGGGGTCTTTTCATATAATTGAGCCAGTTGAGTCTTCTCTGTACCTTCAAAAGACTTAAAAATAGTTTTTCTGTTTTAATTTTCATATACAAAACTAACTAAGCTTGCTGCTTTCAGTATACATTATTCTTTTTTTTTTTTTGGTTTTTCAAGACAGGGTTTCTCTGTGGTTTTGGTTCCTGTCCTGGAACTAGCTCTTGTAGACCAGGCTGGTCTCGAACTCACAGAGATCCGCCTGCCTCTGCCTCCCGAGTGCTGGGATTAAAGGCGTGCGCCACCACGGCCCGGCAGTATACATTATTCTTAAGACAACAATTAAACTCACTCAGCATAACATATGGTTTCGGGGAGATTCCTTGCCTGCACAATTCATTATAATTTTAAACATTTTGAAATTTCACTACTACAACAGTGGTGTTAGTAGTTTGATATTTTATCTATTTCAAGTGTGTATTTTTTTTTTGCTTCCAAGAAAATTTAGACTCCAAAGGGCACATTTATAAGTAAAATAGTTCCCTTAATGATAGTTTTGCAAGCTATAAAAATGAACAGAGCATGCTTATTTGTCACACAATGAATCCTAATTTTAAAACTACATAAAAGTTATAATGCATGTTAATCACATAATAAGATAGCTAATTCATACAAGCTATGGATAATTAAAACATTTTGACGGATACAGGCATAACACAACAGTGTAGACTTGGGACATGAAAGTACTTACCTAGCTGGCGAAAGACTAAAGCCTTTACTGTTGAAGCCAGCATCTTCCCTTCGGTTTTACTTGCTAGCACAGAGCAGTTTGTACCTCGCTCAGTCCCCAAGCAGCAGTGGAAAACGGTTTGGGATGACTCAGACACGTAGACACCACTTGCGTTAAAGCTTGCTTCGACGTCTGCTTCATAACCCCCACTCAAAGCCGAAGCCCTCTTGGGGATTCCGGCAGGTGAGAGAAAGGCGTCCCCTGTTGCGTTTGGTGGTGCACAAAACAATTTAAATCTCCAGGGAGCAGCTGGATATGCCAGGTGAAGTGCAGCTATCCCATAAAGGAATTCTGTTCGGACAGGAAAAAGACACAGGACACAAGTGATCATTTTGACAAAGATGTAACTAGAAAATGCTTGAGACTAAAGGGTGCAGTCCTCAGAAATACTTAACCTTCAAGTGAATAAGTCTGAGCTTCCACCTCCCAGTGCATCAGACCTGAGAACTTGATAGACTTACTGGACTAATTCCATTCTTTGGCACCTCTGCTTTGGAAATTCATGCATCAATTTTCTTTGTTAATCAAGCAAGTTTATATTTTAGCATGAGAAAATTTACATTAATTTTCTTCCTTTTTATAGTAAAATTATTCTTTTAGAATAAATAAGAAATGTCTGGATGTTTAATGATATCAATAAGGACTAAAGCACTCTTAATCTCCATGAGAAGGATCACGACAGTATGTTAATGCTTTCGGAGAAAGTTTGTCTCTAACTTAAAGAGAGTTGCAAGGTCTCTTGAACTTTCCCAGGAGTCTCGAGATGTATAATATCCTATAGGAAAACCCCCAGGAAATGATGGAAAACAGTCCTTCCAGGAAACTCACACTGCAAGTAAATCATTACCTTTTCAATATAGACCTAAGAGCATTTGCAGCACTATATGCAAAAAGCTGCAAATTTTGAGCTGTTCTTTAAGTAAGAAATTCTTGAAAATAAACAATTAACTCTCTACCTTTCTTCATTTTACAAATGAATCTGAATAATTTGGTGACATCCTCATTGTATACATTCCCTAACGCAGTGTGAGAATTCTTAGAATTGTATGTGGAATGAGAGCTTTTGAAGAATTAAATGCAACAAAGTATAAAGAAACAGAAGCAAACAGAATGTTCTTTGGTTTCCAAACAGATAAAGTGAGGAATTCAGACAAAGGCATAATATTCAGTTCAAAGGAAAAGAATAAAACCAAGCAATGAAAAGACACAGGAAATGTACACATATATCCTTAAGAGACCATCACGATGACACAATCTGCATGATTCCACCAAGGATACTGGTTGCCAGGATTTAAGCCGAGCAGAGAGGTGAATAAGCGGGATGTGTGGACGCTATTCTGTCTGATTCTATAGGAGTGGGAAACGTCATTGCCCAAGGCCACAGGTGGACAGGAGTGAACCCTGATGAGAACAATAGAATTAGATGATAATAAGCATCCGAGTACAGGAAAAATAACCAGAAAAAAATACACTTACAGAACATTTGTAGTTCCCGCTACTCAGGAGGCTGAGGCAGGAAGAGCACTGCAGCCATCAGTTTCAAGACCAGCCTGAGCAACATTGTGAGACCCTGGTCTCAAAAGAAGAGGGAAAGGAATAAAAAAGAGGGGAGCAGCCCATTTATAATAACTACACTTTAAAAAAATGTGTAAAGAAGTGAAAGATTTCGCCGGGCGATGGTGGTGCACGCCTTTAATCCCAGAACTCGGGAGGCAGAGGCAGGCGGATCTCTGTGAGTTCGAGACCAGCCTGGTCTACAGAGCTAGTTCCAGGACAGGCTCCAAAACCACAGAGAAACCCTGTCTCGAAAAAAAAAAAGAAGAAGAAGTGAAAGATTTCTACACTAACTATAGAACTGGATGAAAGAAATTAAAGACAAATGGGAAAATATTGTATTTCATACAATTGAAAGAATTTTTTTTTTTTAGTATGAAGCATAGTCAGGTTTTATTAAAACACATTCTTTTCAGCCGGGCGATGGTGGCACATGCCTTTAATCCCAGTACTCGGGAGGCAGAGGCAGGCGGATCTCTGGGAATTCGAAAGAATTTTTAAAATTTTTTTTAAAATTTCACTATCCAAATCAGTGCATAAATTCAATGTATTTGAATTTATCAAATTTAATCCATACCAAAATGTCAATAACATTCTTAACAGAGAGTAAACACTACAAAAGTTCATAAGAAACAAACAAAAAAACCTACCAAAAACTAAAGAAATTATGGAAATTATGTTCAAGAATAAAGCTGCCTCCAGCTAGGCATGGTAGCACATGCCTTTAACCCTAGAACTCGGAGGCAGAAGCAGGCAGATCTCTGACTTTGAGGCCATCCTCGTCTACAGGGCAGGTTCTCAGACAGACAGGATTATAGAGAGAAACCCCTTCTAGAAAAAGGAGCAGATCTGACTCCAAACATAGGACCAAGTCATGTAAGTAAAACAGCATGGTTCCAACAGAAAAAGATGCCCGATTCAACACAGCATGATTAAGAACTCAGAAATAAATCTTTGTATCTAGAACCAATGAAGCTTCAACAAAACTGCCTGGAAAATTCCCTGAAAAATTAATGATCTGTTTAGTAAATGGCACTGGAAAAATGAACATTCATAAGAAATAAAGAAACTATACCACCATCCTTCGTCATACACAAAAATAACTTAACATGGATCGGTGGCCTAGCAGACCTGTAACTATGACTAGACCAAAGTCAAGCTGGGAAACACTGAGATTGAGCTATGTGATATTTTCAGACATACTCCTAAATCACAGGCAATTACAACAACAAAAAAAAAAAAGACAAAGATTATGTCAAACTCTAGTTTGTCTCTGAGAAGGAAATATTCACCAGATAGGTGTGTAGATCAGTATAGCCATTAGGGGAAAAGGCCTCAGAAATGGAAGAATGCAGTCCAGCAATCCTACTATGGGATGTCTATCAAATAAAGCAAAATCACTCGTGCTGGTCATAGCACTGCTCATGATACAGAGTCACCCTAAGTATTAAGAAATGAATGGGTAAAGAATTGTTTATATACACATGTTTGCACTGACCAGCTTTTCATTTCCATAATGAAATATTGGACACAGCCTAGCTTTACAATAAAAGGGGTTTAGTTTTGGAGGCTAAAAAGTCAAACAACATAGTAAATATTCAAGGAAGTGCTGTGGGACAATGGTTTTACCCTTTGAAGATTTGCTTCTTGTACTTGTTTAATAAAATGCTGATTGGCCAGTAGCCAGGCAGGAAGTATAGGCAAGACAACCAGCAGGAAGTAGAGGTGAAGCAAGGAGAACAGGGGAATTCTGGGAAGAGGAAAGCTCAGTCTGCAGTCATCACCCAGACAGAGAGGAAGCAAGATGAGAATGCCTCGCTGATGAAAGGTACCAAGCCATGTGGCTAACATAGGCAAGAATAATGGGTTAATCTAAGATGTAAGAATTAGTTAATAAGAAGCTTGAGCTAATAGGCCAACCAGTTTATAATTAATGTAGTCCTCTGTGTTTTGGGGGTACTGAACAGCTGCGGGACCGGACAGGACAGAAACCTCTGTCAACAAGGAAGGAAACCTGATGGTGTGAACATCAGTGGCAGGAGGATACCATGGGTCAGGTATGAGCAGAGCATTGGATGAAACCAGGTTTGTTCAATAGGATAACACCCACTAGGAGCCAGAATTTAAAGGTTCCACGGCACTTCCTGATACCATCATCCAAGGACCAAATTTCCCATCACAATGGATCATTGGGAGACAGTCAATTTACATACACTCTCAAACAACAGATATTATTCCATCATAAAAGAAAGGAAGCTACCATTCTCAACACAAGGAGAGCATATGTTAAGTAAAGCCAGGCACAGAAAGGCAAATGCCACATGACTTCATTGCCATGAATCTACCTTAAACAAGTAGAGAGCAGACTGTGAATCATAATATAGCAGAGGAAGCTGTAGCTGAGTCAGTCAAATAATTCGTATATCTATACTTAGACAGGAGGAGGGCCAAAGATCTAACACACAGTGCGCCAACTGTAGATAGTAACAATATATACCTTCTTGGAAAATGTTAAGGGAGCAGATATGAAGTTCTCAAAGCATTGAAATGATAATATGACATAATACACTTATCCATTAATTTCAACTCTCCATATTTTACAGATTCCAAAACATTTCTTATGTGTTAAATACATAGTAACAAAATACATACATTATAATTACAAATGAATTTGAAAAAAAGTCTAGGCACCAAAAACTAAATAATAAACTAGGTTTCCCTATGTTAAAAAAAAAAAAGTTATGGGCAATGTATGGCTAGTTCCAAACAGGAGAATGTTTGAAAATGATGGTTCACTAAAACTACAAGACCATTAAAACAAAACAAAACAAAACAAAAAACAGCTGAAGAAGCTTCCTCTGAAGGACAAGTCTACAACTGGTGAGAGGAGGGATAGTCATATATTTAACTCTTTTGGAAAATTGTGGTATTCAGTGACCATTCCAAACATATGCAGCATTCCTTGATAATATTCCCCTCAGAGCATCATACTGTCATGACTACAAAAGTATACACCTGTATTTATATATGTGATTGTAGGTATGTGTGTGTGTGTGTTTCAGACCTTGCACTTAGATACCATTGGCTCTCCTGAGTCTGTAGTTTTCCAACTGCAGATTTAGAAGTACTCAGTCTTTGAAATTAAATGATCCATTTGCTTATAAACATATGCACACATGTGTGAACACATGTGCACATGTGTATACTCATACATACACATATCATCACCATCAGTTCTGTTTCTTTATGGAGCTTTAAAACACAGTTAAAAGTTTCTTACAGTTTAGAAAGTCCTAAAATTTGTCTCAGACCAACAAACTCAACAACCAGGTATTTGAAGTGTAAAACAAAAAATCTCACCAGAAATATAGTCAAACTAACTGCTCAACCTCACACACGCATAAAATTCAAATCAATAAAATTGAAACACAATACTTGTCTTCTTTGATGTGGTAAAAGGTGAAGGAATGGTGACATGCTAGTGGAACTGCACAAGAATAGTTATTTATAGACATGGGTTGGGACCCCAAAACACCAAATTACTGTTCAATATAAACGTCTCTTTAGAAATTAATCTACACAGATACCCTCCCAAATACACAAAGGTGCATGCAACTTACCCCAGTGTAACAAAGCCACATAGAATTTCTGACAAATCATCTTACTTCAGAGATGTACACCTGGAAGACAAAACAAAAAACAAAAATCAAAAACAAAGCAATACACATAGAAAACTCATTGGCCATCTATGAAAAATACAAAAGAAAAAAGATTACAAATAAGTCTAACTTCAATGCTCTAATATATAGGGTCAATATTACAGAATCATTGCATGTTAAATTATACTAATTTTTGTGATGCATATGCTTTCTTACAAAGTAAAAAGAACAATTAAAATTTAAAAGTCACTCTGTTTCATTATGCTATACAATCCAGGGTAAGCATTGCAGGATAAGACTGAATTCTTAGCTAGAAAACTGTTCATAGTTTTGATTAAAAACATAACAGAAAATCTAATGACCATTAATATTACCACTGCTATATCTTTGTTATCCTTATTTCCTAGAGTTATTGTTATAATACTACAAAGTCAAGCAGTTATGGCACAGGTAATAATTTTACATTCAATTTTAATAAAAAGGAAAAAAGTTTACAAAATGCCTTTGTAAACACGTTAATTTGCAGATAAAGTAATATTGATATTAGAGAAATTAAAGGTCTGTCTCATGGCTTAGAACACCTCAATACAAAGGATAACTTCTGATAATGTTTCACATAAATTCTATTCAACCAGGGATGCACTCTGTAAATAAGGTTATTTCTTCTTCTGTCATGAGTTAGAATTATAAAACTTTAATATATTGGGCTTGGAATTGTGATGTGTGTGTGTGTGTGTGTGTGTGTGTGTGTGTGTGTGTGTGTACCAGAGGTCAACATTAGCTGTCTTCCTCTGTGACTCTATCATTTTGCGGGGGGCAGAAGGGCACAGGCTTTCTCATTGAACTTGAAACTCTCCATTTCAGGGATCCTCCTGCCTCCACCTCCCAGCATTTGGGTAATAGACATGTGCTCCCCCAATGTGTAACAAATTCCTCTGAGATAAAACATTTCATCATGGAGGGGAACTTGTTAAGAAACAGAACGTCCTAAGTGAGGTGAAGAAATTCATCCTACAGGGAATCTCTTTAAGCTCAGGAAGTAAACAACTCAAAAGCTTCAGGAAGTCCCTGAAACTGATCAGATTCACTAAGTCCCTCTTTCTCAAAGTATATGTAGGCAGTAAGGGCTGCTGAGAGACACTCTCAGAAAAGCCTAACTGCCTAGGAGAGGCAGACCAGCCAACTGCCTGGAAAGGGCTAAGATCACATGAGCTGCCTGAAAGAGACGTTTTCCAGCCCATTGAGGTGCCTGCACATTGTGCAGGTGCTCCAGGTTTACGGTTTTCATGAGCTGATACCCAGGCTCAGATGGGCTTTGGTGATGCTGCTGTCATTAAATCATCTCTGCTCTTGTAAGTAACCCCTCATCTATACTCCAATAAGTAACACCAATAAAAACATCAGTTGACTAAACTGGGCTTTGGTGGTGTTCTTATTTTGGACTGCTGTCAGTTCCCTCTGTGGAGCGAGTAAACGTTTTTCGTCTCTCCAGGAATAGTGCCAATGCCAACATGTACTTCAGGCACTGAGTCATCGCCCAGTGCCATTTCTGTCTTCCCTATGATCTCAATCTGAAGTTCAGCCTGATGTGTGGTGTATTTTGAGATGACAAGCCCTGAACTGGGTGTTATAAGTCTTAGGTTCAAGTTTGGGCTCTTCTAACCAGCCTTTAGGACTCGGAGTTTCAGATCCACCTCCCTCTTGCTTATCTGCAAATCTAACTGTTGGATGATTTTAGCAACCTTTTCCAGAGTTGCCTGTAAGTGGAAGTTTTATTTTAAAATAGAAATAGCACCCTCACTACAGATACTGCTATAAATGATCCAAAAACATGCTTCATATGAGAAACAGCACCAGTTGATGGGTATGTTTGTATACTCTTGGGGACCCTAGACATGTATAAGCAGTTTGTATTTTAAAATATTTTTTTTCTAATATGTTTGTTTTTCAAACTGTGCTTTTCATCAGAACTTTGGTTCTTTTTTTTTAATTTACTTATGTATTATGTGTGTGTGTGTGTATGTGTGTGTGTGCTCTATGTACATGTATTCCTGCATAACATAAGAGGGCATCTGATCCTATTCTAGATGGTTGTGAGCCACCATGGGGATGCTGGAAATTGAACTCGGGACCTCTAGAAGAGTAGTCAGTGTTCCTAACTGCTGAGCCATCTCTCCAGCCCCCAGAGCTTTGATTCTTTATTTGAAATCTCTAAAAATTGGTTCAGTGCTTGAAATCCTCATAACCTAATTGTAAGAAATGTATGCAAGACACACACACACACTATTTTATATTACGTATTCCTAGTATCAGACTTCTCATCAAATAAACTCAAGAAGAATATTCATAATCAGGATGTGTCATGAACACAGTGTATTGCTGGAATACTTTGATAAACTAACTGTAATTCCATCCCCAAACAGATTTGATTTGCATTTAAATAACCAATCTACTAAGTGGCCAAATGCATCAGTTGATCCTTTGAATAAGGAAGTTCACTGTCCCATGCAAGACAGAAACTATTCTTACAATGTTAATTCATGCCACCAGGTTCCATTCATATATGGGAGGCAAACAATTACAGATATGAACAGGCATACAGACTGTGAAAGTGGTTTCTTACACAGATTCAATGAGAGAAATATTTATGTTCACCTAAAACAAAAGGAATTTAAGGACACTTACAGAAACACAAACATGACATAAAAATGACAGAATTTTAAACCTATGATTAAGAATAATAAAAATGGACATAAAGGATGTACAAAATTCCCTATGTAATATAATGTTTATATTCAGAGACTAGTTCTGCTACAGCCTTGGTCAGACAAGTTTCCTTGTGGTGGGCGGCAGTTACTGCTGGTCAAAGTCTAGAGAATAAGTGCCCAGGTCTAAAGGGGACATCACTATTGGCCCCTCCATAGCCAAAGGAAGAAGTGACAGGAAGAAAATAAGTGCTGGGGAAAACACTGTTTTTGGACATAACATGTTGCATTTCTGAACAGTGGCTATTATTACCTACACAACACTGGACCCCTTGACCTTCTTTAACGAAGGAAAAGCGGGCTCATGAGATTCTACCCCTCCTGAGGCTACATAGGCAGTTAATAGTTACTAAAGGGAGAGAGATTTTCTTCAGTGATGTAGCGATGGGTAAGTTCACCTATTTATAACCATACACTCATGTTTCCACAAGTAACCACAAATAAACTATTTGGCATTAGCAATAAGAGAACAAAAGTTGGTTCAAGAGAGAAGCTGGCAGGCAAAAGAAGACTTTCGGGATGAGGTTTAATAGGAGAAAGGTCCTGAAGACCACGATTCGGCCATGAGGCAGGGAAGCATTAGAAAAGGAACAATAAAATGTACCATAAACAGGACAAGAGGGCTTTAAATGGAAGGAGAGGCTTCCCTTTAGAAAGGGAAGAGATAATAAAGGAAATAAACAGCAAGCCAGCAGCCAAAATCAAACTAAATGGAGAGAAATTCACAGCAATCCCAATGAAATCAGGAGCAAGACAAGGTTGTCCACTCTCTCCATATCTATTCAATATAGTTCTTGAGGTCCTATCTAGAGCAATATGACAACAAAAGGAGATTAAGGGGATACAAATCAGAAAGGAAGAAGTCAAACTCTCACTATTTGCTGATGATATGATAGCTTACATAAGGGACCCCAAATATTCTACCAAGGAACCTCTACAACTCATAAACACTTTCAGTAATATAGCAGTAATATATCAAAAAAAAAAACAGTGGTCCTCCTGTACACAGATGATAAATGGGATGAGAAAGAAATCAAAGAAACATCACCCTTCACAATAGCCACAAATAGCATAAAATATCTCAGAGTAATGCTACCCTAACAAGTGGAAGACCTGTATGACAAGAACTTTAAATCTTTGAAGAAAGAAATTGAAGAAGACACCAGAAAATAGAAAGATCTCCCATGCTCTGGGGTAGGCAGAATTAACATAGTAAAAAGGGCAATCTTACCAAAAGCAATCTACAGATTCAATGCAATGTCCATCAAAATTCCAGCAGAAATCTTCACAGACCTCAAAAGAATGGTATTCAACTTCTTATGGAAAAGCAAAAAATCCAGGATAGCCAAAACAATCCTGTACAATAAAAGAACTTCTGGAGGCATCACAATCCCTGACTTCAAACTCTACTACAGAGCTACAGTACTGAAAACAGCCTGGTATTGCCATAAAAATAGACAGGAGGATTAATGGAACTGAATCAAAGTCCCAGATATTAATCCACACATCTATTAACACTTGTATTTTGACAAAGAAGTAAAAAATATCAAATGGAAAAAGAGAGCATATTTAATAAATGGTGCTGGCATAACTGGATATCAACATGTAGAAGAATGAAAATAGATTCATATCTATCACCATGCATACAGCTCAAATCCAAATGGATCAAAGACCTCAACATAAAGCCAACCACACTGAACCTCATAGAAGAGAAAGTGGGAAGTACACTTGGATGCACTGGCACAGGAGACCACTTCCTAAATATAACCGCCAGTAGCACAGACACTGAGAGAAACAATTAATAAATGGGATCTCTTGAAACTGAAAAGCTTCTGTAAAGCAAAGGACACGATCAACAAGACAAAATGGCAGCCTACAGAATGGGAAAAGATCTTCACCAATCCCATATCAGACAAAGGACTGATCTTCAAAATATACAACGAACTCAAGAAATTGGTCATCAAAAGAACAAATAATCCAATTAAAAATGGAGTACAGGGGCTGGAGAGATGGCTCAGAGGTTAAGAGCATTGCCTGCTCTTCCAAAGGTCCTGAGTTCAATTCCCAGCAACCACATGGTGGCTCACAACCATTGTAATGGGGTCTGGTGTCCTCTTCTGGCCTGCAGACATACACACAGACATAATATTGTATACATAATAAATAAATAAATATTAAAAAATGGAGTACAAATCTAAACAGAAAACTCTCAACAGAGGAATCTAAAATGTGTGAAAGACACTTAAGGAAATGCTC